GGTTTTTTTTTTTTTTTTTTTTTTTTTCCCCGCGCGGAATTGAACTCCGCGTTCAGTCCCGTTCATTGAACGAGCGTGCATTCCGTTTAATTTCTGAACAGAAAACCCGCGTTCAATGAACGTGCGGTTTCACAGGCCGAAGCGGTCCGTCGGGTCAGTGGTCGGAGATCGGAGGTTTTCTGCGAATTCGAATTTTCGAACTTCTGGGTCCGCGAGCTTTTCACTGACCCGTCGTCACCTGCTGACGGCCCACCGCAGTGTGTACCACGGACACCAGCCAGCAATGGATGGACATTGGCGACGCGGCTGGGTATACGCATATGAAACCGGCCGCGGGAGACCTTTTAGAACAATCCTTTTTTTTTTCTTTTTTTTTTCTTTTTGAAGAAAACTCAGCCCCGGCCAATGCTAGTGCAATGGGGGTGTCCGGTTTCCTCCTTTCCCCCGGGACTGTCCATGACCATTCTGGAGGGTCCTGGTGCCCGGTTTCCTCCTTCCCCCCGGGACTGTCCATGACCATTCTGCTGGGTCGAAAGGTAGCTGTGCAATGGGGGTGTCCGGGGCAAAGGCCACCCAGTTAGCTCCATCCTTGAGGACCCTGACCCGCTGTAGTTCCTTGTTGTGGTAGAATCGTGTCTCTTCCGGCGCGGGCTGATGCAGGGTGTTATCCCGGCCGATCTGAAAGATATCGACCACCACTGGCCCAGTCGGGCTGCACTCCACCACATTCCCAACCTCCTGTCTAGCGCCCGGAATCTGCACCCAGTCCGATTCCCGTAACATGGGACCTTGCCTGAGGATTTTCCACCAGCTGAGGGGGATTTTCTCAATGACTTCCTCTAGGGCCTTTTCCAGCCCGTGACTATATCGTAGCTTTTGCCTCAGCAGGTCCGTGTCAATCCAGTTTGACGTAGCCGGGTCCCAGAGATCGCTTACTCTGATCACACCTTGTTTCACCCACACCCGCCAAGGGGAGTCCACCCCTCGGAGAACCTGGCCTCTCGTATTGACCAGTTGCCGATTGTCAAAGAGTGGTTGAAGAAACACCTCATCCCATCGTTCGGGTAAGATCTTATCCGGCAGGGGGAGGCTCCGCCAGGTGTTCAGCAGGGATGGCCAAAAGCGATCATTGCGCAGGTCATTTCTTACTTGTTCCCGCGGCGAGTTCAGCTCGGGGTTCTGCTGTTTGGTGTGTCCTCGCGGTATTGGCCAACCCCTGTTTTCCAGCCATGTTAGTGGGTGCGTTTGTGTTGCCGTTTCTGGGGCCAGCCTGGCTATTTGTTCGAGGGCCAGCCCTCTCCATGGGTTGTCCAGGTTGAAAAGCAGGCGTTTGAGCCATTGCAGGGCTAAGGCCTTGGTTTGAATTGTTGGGTCAATGATGCCCAACCCTCCTCTCGCTTTGGGCTGGATTATGGACTGCCATGCTACCCTGCTGATCACGTGGTGTTTTTCGGAGTCACCCCTCCATAGAAATGCGGCTATCCGTCGTTTCAGCGGTCGGAGGGCTGCGTTATCAAGGGCCCAAATAGCTGACCGGTACCACAGGGAGGCAAGAACGACGTTGTTAATTACCAAGGATCGTCCCATCAACGAGGTATGCCGGTCCTTCCACCGTGTTAGCTTTTCCAAGGGCGGTTTAGAAATGCACTCATTGTTCCCTGATGGGCGCCCATTTGCTGACAGTGCGACACCCAACACCCGGATGGGAGATTCATTGGGGAGCCATTTAACTTTCGGTGTCTCCGGGGGTCTGACACCTTGGTGGTGGATCCACCATCCCAAAGTTTTGTTCCCCCAGTTGACTCGCATATCCGACAGGGAACAAAACCTTTGCATTATTTGTTGTACCTCCTCCATTGATGCATGGGATGCCTCCACCATCAGTGTAAGATCGTCAGCGAACAGCGAACACACCGGGATTGCCGCCTTGGGGATTGAAGAGATCTGGATTTTCCTAATGTCCTTGTTGGTTCGCAAATTCGCGGCGAGGGCTTCCATTACGATCACAAACAGGTACGGGGCAATCGGGTCCCCTTGCCTAACGGATCTCTGGAGGGAGATAGGCGGCGCGAGGTTGCCATTGATCATGACCCTAGTTGTTACGTTTTTGTGCAAGATTTCTACCCAGCGTCTGAAGGTGGGACCAAAACTAAGCTTCTCCAGGCATTTGTCGAGAAAGACCCAATCCACGTGATCGTAAGCTTTTTCAAAATCAATAAAGATAATTGTTGCGTTGTGTTTTGACTGTCTTGTGAGTTTGATCACCTCATTGACAAAAAG